GGTGTGTCCAGCCACGATGGCTTCAAGGGTCAAGCTATCCCCCAGTCACTTGACACAGGCCCACCACCGAATCTTTTCCAATCGGTTTGATGCGCGTCGATCCATTTGCACGGACGCAGGGATCCTCAGCTCAGTGACAGTGAGCCGGTGGAGACAACTCATGGGGGAGTCATTGATCAAATTGCCCGGTGCCATAACCAAGTAACTAATGTGACGCAACCTTGATTCCAAAGAACAAGTGTTCTTCCTTGCGCAATCCAAAAATGGTCTCACACAACAAAACCGATCCACCAAATGGCCATGGGGTGCCAAGAACTCAAGAATCTCATGTGACCTGTGATGTCAGTGCCGTTTGGGTCAGAACCTGGGAGTAGCCAGTTCCATCCCCTTTGAGTGGTATGGCATGCTTGGATGGTATTGCCGAAGAATGGGACTCGTGTGAGGAAGTTCGGGATCGCATGCGAGAGAAGCGTAGGCTTTTTGTCAAGGAGGATGGCATGGACCAGCCCAAGCCAACTGTTGCATGTGCGCAGCTGAACTTCCATGTCCTGAAACCTTTGGTGCTTCGTCTTGAAGAATCCCCAGGGGTTGTTGGAATGCACGGTGTCCCACAGCTCCAACAGCAGAGCCTTGCCGCTTCTTTTGGTTCAGCTTTTAACTTTATTGCGTTCACTAAACAAGTTCTGGTGGTTTTTGGTGCAAGCATGGCCCCAACCCCGACTGTTTTGGTCAACCCAACTGGAAATCACGTTGCATTGAGGATTCAGAACCTCTATCTCAAATTCAAGATTCCCATCTTCAAGACTGAGCTGAAGAAGGATGCAAAGCTTGCCAAAGGCTTCATGGTGCTAGTCAAGCGCAAGCTTCAAAGGCTTCAGATTTGCAGGAGTGTCCTCTTTAGGCAATTGCTAGCTCTGGTTTTTGCGTCGACTCGTGCCGCAAGCCAGGACCTGGTTCGAATAAGAAACATGTGGGGTCTGCTGTTTCCAACACACATGGCCTATTATGTGACCTTTCATTTGCAGGGGCACTTATGGCAAGCCACGTATTTATCAAAGCCCGCGCATCGAAAAACACACACACACACACTCATGCCCATCGACGCGGGTCTGTCTCCTCATCCAAGCGGCGTCGTGAACCTTGAAGGACACAGCTGGTGCTCCAGGCCTTGGTGCGGCTGTCGTCGAGGATCCAATCGAGGAAGATGAGGATGAGGACATTGAGGTTTCCGATGGCAGTGAAGCTGAAGGAGGTGAAAGTGGTCTTGGTGGTGATGATGATGGCATTGTGGTGGCCAAAACAGACGCCCAACCTGTTGACCCCCAAGTGCTGAAGGAGGTTCCCAACTCCCAGGACATGGAGGAAGACCCACGTGAACAGCCGGATTCTGGGGAACCTGTCAAGGCCAACGTCAACCCTGAGGTGTTTGAGTCCGACAGTCAGTTTGACGATCTTTTTGGGGAGAAGAGCGCTGATGAAGTTCCTCCTACCGCTCCTAGCCAAGTGGTGACAAGGGAAGAAGACCCACCTACTTCCCTCACAGCGGTCGTTGAGATTGAGGACAGCCCGGAGAAGAGTGCTGCTGACATCATGGCAGCCCGTGCCAACTTGGAGGAAAAAATCAGTGAATTATCCACTAAGCTGGCCGTTGCTCGCAAACAACAGACTTCCAAGATCCTAGGCATGGAAAACAACACTGTTGTAGCTCTTCTTGGCTTGTTGTGTGCGCGGCCCTTCTGACCAAAAAACTATTAATCCTCATTGCACGAAGTCTCACTCACAGGGATTGTAAGTGCTTGGTTGTTCCACTGAGGATGGCGGCTGAAGCATTGAAGCATCCAAGGGGCCGACAATCTAGTTCATCTTCAAGTCTCCCTTCACTGGTGCTAGAGAGCTTTCCGTTCGGAGGCGATGATCGGGAAACACAAGCCTTGCACCATTCAGAGATGGAACATTTGGCCCAAGAGTTTCAGAACATGGACAATGGTGACATTCCAAAAGGCTTCATACCTGAGGCCCCTGCAGCAACTCGGTTTTTGCATTGTGGGCCAAAACTGTTGATAATATTTCATGATGTCAAACGCTTTATTTATAACGAAACTGTTTGTGTCTTTTCCCCCTCTATTGTTTTCCATCGGTCATTGATCGTTCTCACCGAAAGACCCGATGTTCAGAGACCACCAAACAAATATGGCCAACTAGGTGATAGTTGGCCCTATTGTTTTTGAGTTTTGCCTTAACCTCTCGTGGCAGGTACTGCGACGAGCCCAGCTTGGACTTCGCAATGAAGAGGATCCTGATGAGCCGCCAAAATCCAAGGGACCAGGAAGACCAAAAGCCAAGGCGAAAGGGAAAGCCCAGGCAAAAGCAAAGGTGAAGGGGAAATCGAGAGCGAAGACCTCAATGGCCAAGAAGACGGCAGACGCTGCTGCTCACCCTAACCAGGAGGACCTTCCCAAAGATGAAGTTGATGAGGAAAAGGACGGGGAGGAGGACAGGGAGGCAGAGAAGGGTGAGCGCTCCAAGAAGGATGATCTCGAAGTAGGCATGGGGATGGAACAGCCAAGTGCTGGCACCAGGGAGGGCGGCACGCAGGACTATACTCAAGCCAAGGGGAGGGGCGCCCGCAAGAGAGCGACCAAACCTACCAACGACTCCAAAGATGCTGACCTTGCGCTCAAGGAAGCGCCGCTAAAGAAGATCCGGACTTCTTCTCATGGGCCGGCGACCTTTGCACGCCGCCCTCAACCAAGCACAGGGCTAGGCAAAGCAAAGTGGCATGGTCTACGACAAGCATTTGTGGAGGTGATCAAGCCACACTTGGTCCACTACAGTGCTGCAGAGGACGGCAGGGGCGGGGGGGCTCAATCCCACCAAAATAGCACTTCTCCTCCGACAAAATGTTGGCAATTATTGCATTCCTGTATTCCTTGACCAGGCCCTTCCCACTTGCGTGGAAAAGAAAAAGGTTTTCTTGCAAAGTTTCACAAGTAGCGTATTTTGATATGTGCTATAGCTGGTGCACAAAGGAATATCTTTGGTCGGGGGCCTCATCCCATTAAGATCACCCCTGGCTTTGGCATCCAGGCTGCTTTCTGGAAGTTCGCCACAGCCAAGTGGGAAAACATCGAGATCAAAGAGGACAACGTGCAGGCTTTGGCGCTGGCAGCTGCATCTGACTTCTTGGAAGCTAGGGCGGCGGCCAAAGAGTGAGGCCGAGATCTTCTTGGTTTTTGAAGTCTGTTTCGACCTGGGCTCGAAGAGAGCTGGGTGTTGTGTTGCGCTGCGCGGCTGGTCCATCCGACAACGCGTGTCAATGCACATGCTCCAGATTCTAAAACCTTTCTGTTGTCATCTACTGGAAGTGTTCTCTAGAATGGGGCCAGCCGTGTCAGCAACATGTAGCAACGCAACATACATGGCACGCAAGTGCCACTTGCAATTCCATGTGCACTCGGATCCTGGCCACCGGCCAAATAGATGGGGGTTCTGCACATAGTGTTGGATGCAACGGTAGGGCGTCCGCTTCTTGGTTGTCCACACATTTGTCAAGGAAGTTCGTCCAATCAACGCTACTTTGCCATGGTGGATCTCGTCTAGTGGGCTACAATGTTTTTTTTTTGGGTGAACGTGTGTGTTCGGGCATCTATGCCTGAGATAGTGACGCCCGTAGATACCAATTCAATCAGTAGATGGCTGAGGGGAATCATGCGCCGCCGTTGTTGCCGGCACTGGTCGAAAAAGACTATGTTCATTATTGAGCCAGGCTCTGCCAAATCACTTCTTTCAATGGGTTTTCTGAAAGCTTCATGGCACACAGTTTCCCCATGTCGCTTCACACGGTAGCTCTTAAACTGAGGTTCTGGTAAAAACGATGGCCCCCATCCTTGACCCGGACCGCCCATGCCCGGTACAACATCCATGGGCCGGCTGAGGCCATGGCAGACCATCAAGATGACGAAGAACCGCGCATCCTGATCAACGATCTTCGCACTGCTGGCTTGAGTTGGATGCACGCGCAGTGGGCAAGGGGAAGTTTTACGCGCTTATCCGCTCCAGTCGCTCTAGTGTCCAATCAGGATTAAGCTTGAGCGAGTGCAGGATCCGTTGGAATGAGACAGTTACTTGAGCTACATGGGTAATGTCGATTCCAGGGATTTCAAAGTTCACTCCAACTTCAAGCAACACATGACGTTGTAACCTTGAGCGTTTTTGGCTCGGATCTGGGGCTGTTCATCGGCCTGCCCAAAGCCATGGAGTTCTTAGATCCCTGGAAGCGGGGCAGGCTCAATGTAGTTCTCCAGAGGCTTTACCTTATTGGAGCCCCTAAGGCAACTTGGATTGAAATGTTGGGTGCAAGGGTGAAGTCATGTATACATCACTTCCTGCCTGCTTCTTAAAGAAATTGATAGCGGATGCGTGTAGACCAGCAGCACTCAGCTGCAGCGTACAGTATACCTGACTGTGCCTACTGTGCACTAGTTATTTTCCTTGCGCGTGACTGTCCACCCCAGGTCCTGATGGCGTGTGTGCTCTTGCTGGCATTCAATTCAGATGTCCAAGTCTTCACAGAGGCCAGTGAATTGGGGTGAGCGAAGAATTGAAATGATAGCGGATTGCTGTCTTTGGGTTGTGTGACTATGAGCTCCCGCACAAAAAATTCCATACCTTCAATACCACAGTCAACAGACCTGTCACACATTCAAAATAGTCGATCTTCACTAAAACTGTTGCCGTGGTTATGCTTTGTGAAGGACATTTTGGAGTATGGACCTTTGAGTCAAGAAAGTGAGGTCGAACTACTGGCTTGGGTCCGCGCGCGCGCGCGCGCCTTTGAAAGCCTTTTCAGGGTACAGAGAAGGCGCGCGCGCGCGCGCGGACCCAATCTGATCTTATTGGCGGTCGTCCGGACAAGTGCAATCTTTCCTGAACCCAGCTGAGTCTGCTAGGCCTATGGATTTGTCGAGATCTTTGCGGGTCAGGGATGGGTGACCAAGTACATGAAGGCGAACGGCGTCCCTTCTGCAAGCTTCGATATCCTAAATGGGACTCCCACTGAAGGAAAGCAAAATGCGATGGACATCCTGTCGGATGCAGGATTTGCGTTTGTTGTCTGCATATGGTGCATCATGAAAGGGCTTAAAACATCGATTATGAATTGGGAAACGCTTCTACATTCTACATTTCTAGAAAGTGCTGCACAGGTTTCACGTCACTGGCCAGTGATTGTCTTGGCACACTTGAGGTTGATACTCCTGGCGATTTTGAACGCCAGATTTGATGATTTCTTTTGTGTCCTGGGATTGGTCTGTTCGTCCTGGGTTACCATATCACAAGGGACGCACTATCGAGCACCATGGGCTCCTTTAGGCAGAGACCACATCCCATTTGTGGATCAAGGCAACCGCATGACCAGTCGGAACTTGGCTTAATCAGTGTACATGATTTAACATATAGGTTTCAACAATGGACTTTTGAGTACCGGTCAGAACAGTCATTCACAAAGCCTTGCATGCGGACTTGGATTGTGGATTCACCACCCTGCTCAAACTAGACAAATGATACCACATCACACGCCCAATGCCCCTCAGGCCCTCATTTGCCGAACCGTTGGCTGGGTTCCCTTGCTGCTGAGGACCACTTTGCTTATCCTGGCCATCACCGCTATGGGTGGGACATGGTTGCTGGAGCAACCCAGCACGTCGCAAGTTGACTGGCATCCCCGTGTGCGGTTGCTGTGGCGATTGGTTCCACAGGTGTGGGTTTGGAAATCAACCGTGGATACCTCCACATATTTGTGAACGGGTCAAAATGATTGATTATTGTTTTTGTTTGTATATAGGCCTTGGTTGGACATCTCAATCACTTTTGCAATGCAAAGTCTTCTGGCCTGGACCCACTGATGCATGTTGACCTTGAAACAAACCCAGGTGTTTGAAGCGAAGTGGTACGGTGGAATGTATGGCTCACCTACATGCAAGCCGCACAAAGGGTGGTCCAACAGTCGCACTGTTCAGTGTCTGGATAAGGGAAAGATGAACAAGAAGACCCGATCGATGATTCGGAAGCGAGGGGTCAAATCCACGATCGTCTACAGAAATTCCAAGGGCAAGAAAGCTTTTTGTGGATCTCGCTTCTTGAAACTGACTGGGAACCTTGATTGTACAATTTGGAAACAGTTTGGTTTTGATGTGATGTTCATTCCATGCAATGATTGGGAAAAAGACCATCCAACCAACAGAGGGGTCTGGGTTTCTTGGATGTACATGGTCTTGTTTGTTTCACAACCAGCCCGTGCGACAAATCGATGAAGAGTACCAAAGGTGAATGTAGTCCACCTTCATTCCCTGCCCAACTTAAATCCCACTATAGTGGCCTGGGCGATGCTATTGAGCTAAGGACCTATCCACCCAAATTTGGTGAACGACTTGCTGCACTTCACCCTCGCTTTTGCCGCAACCGGACAACTTGGTTTGGTACACATCTGGATCTGGATGATCAGTCGATGGGTACCCATTTGTTTTCTTCCATGCCCTGGGAAGATATGGATTGGCGGGATGACGCCCAAATGAAGTCAGTGTTTGAGTATTTGCGGGGGGCGAAGGGGCTTTGGCTTGGAGAAATGCGGCCCTTCTTCCCATCTGAAATTCCAATCTAGGTTGGTGCAAGCACCTGACTGCATATGCAACAGGGCAAGTTGCTGCACCCTACCTTGATAATTGTGGCTTTTCCCAATGTCTTCAGGTCTATCAGTCGCTAGCGTGTTCATAGGATCTATAAAGCCATGATGGGGCCTTGGGGCCTGGAGTCAATTACTGGATCTTGAGATGTTGGCGCCACTCTTTATGACCTGCGTGCATTTAGAACAAACTGCAAGCGTGCGAAAGAGCAAGGTGCTTCACTAAACAAGCTCTTGTGCGGTTCATCGCTGCCATTGTGTCTTAAATCTTGTTAGATGGGCTGATCCTGTCAACTCTATAGTTCATTCCCATTGAATTCAACAAATTCTTGTTGATTTTTTACATGGAAGTTGGTGATTTGGTGAAATACGTATTTTGCACGTAAATTGTACGTATTTGCACCCGTATCGAACCCGTACCAAACCCGTACCCGTAAAAAGGACGTATTTATGCGTGAAAGGGGCGTCGTTTTGCGTACCAGATTACGTGCAATTCCCGTATTTCAGCCATGTTTGGCAAAGTTGAATTCTTGTGGCCTTGGCTTGAAGTTCATCACTTTTCCATTGTTCAAATGAGGTTTCTGGGAGTGTTTGCTGGTGCCAGAGGCATTTGGTTCAACTGTCAGTTGGTTGTTGACAGGGATGGCCCCCAAATCCGAGAAATCGGAGAAGGTTAAGCCTGTTCCCTCCAAGCAATGGTCTGCTTCGGAGCTCACAGATGGCCATACCAAGCTTTTGGCCGTCAAGAATGAGAGCCTTTCACATGATGAACTCCAAAAACAAATCCAGGACCATCTTTGAAACACGCCTTGTTCGAACCTGTTGGAAGCTTTCTGGGTGCAATGAACAGGTAGCCATGATTTGCCAAGTTCTAAGTCATATCCCGCGGCTTTACCTTGTTTCAGGAGTATGAAAAGCAGCTTGCAGAGCTGAAGAAGGGTTTGTCCAACACGTCTATCAGCGAGCCTCGTTTGTGCAGCTTGGGGGGGTGGAGGGCAATTCTTTCATGCGCATATGCACAAAGCTTTTTGGTACACATGTGAAACATGGCATGGTTCTCAGGAAGCTGAGACTCAACCGGACACTCAGCTGAGTTTAATGTTTGCTTGCCCTGCTCATGAATTGCAACGGGGTTCATTCTTCAATGTGGTCAAGATAACTATTTCACACCTGCATCAGGCAACCGAACGTGAACTCAATGCTGTAAGGAAGACTTCAGCCAAGTCCAAGGCACAGCCTGCCCCAAAGGCTGCTCCAAAAGCAGCTCCCAAGGCAGCCCCAAAGGCAGAACCAAACGGGGGTAAGAAGCATGCCCGTTCACCCCAGAAGCCAGACCAGCAATCCCCCAACCCTGCTGTGCAAAAGCGTGTGAGGGGAAAGCAGCCTGACCCTGACCCCGCCCAGAAATTGGAAGAGCTGTTGAAGGCACATAGAACATAATGTTGGTATAAGCTGCATGTATTCTGACTCTTGTACCCTTCATCGCTTTGTGCATGATCGTTCCTGCTAGGCCAACCAAGCGATGGCTGAGGAGTTGGCAAAGCTAAAGGGTGCCAAGCTGAACAAAAAGCTGTCTTTTCACACCCCTCCGCCCAAGATCTCCGCTCCGTCCCCTGAGCCGAAACACCCAGCCGGCGAGGCGTCCCAGGCCGATGCCTCTGCAGGTTTGGGCACTGATGCTCAGTCAGCTCCACCTGCCACGGAGGGTGCGCGCTTGGCAAGGTTGAGGCGTATGTGTGAGATGAAGCCCAGCGGACGTTGTCACGTGCCCCCGGATATTCATAAAAGATGGAAGGAAGGAACCAAGGCTGATCGTGAGGCAATGGTGGATGAGTTAGAGGCTGCAGGTTGGTCAAAGGACACTGAGTGTGACTTTTGTACTGTATAATGGGGAGATTGGGCGTCAATGACAAGCCATTAAATGGCGTGTACTTCACAATGTTCCATCCCCTAAAGCTCGGATCTATATAGTGTACATGATTTTGCGACTGACCCTCTCTTCCAGGACATGTTCGTCAGCCGGATCACCAAGATTTTTGCGAAGACCAATCGACTTTCAAAGCGGAAGAAGAGGGGCTGGTATACAAAGGAAGCCATGTCCACCGTTTTGGGTTGGAGCGCGTTCCTAGGCCTAACTTGCACCCAACATGCCACTTGCTGAGTAGAAGTAGCTTTCAACCATTCTCCCAAATTCTTGTTGACAAGTACGTCGGCTCCCATCTGCCACATAAGGTCCTACATCAAGCACGTCGTCGAGTATTGTGAGAAGCCTGGCAACATCGACCGCCTTACAAAGAACCTTTTTTGCATCTAACCACATGGGCCATGTGTGCAAGATCAATAGCATGTTGGCACTGTCCCAAGCAGTTTCATCCAGTTATTTATTTGTCTATCAGGAAGGATCGCTACAACAAGAAACTGATGAAGTACTATGTGACCTATGAAGAAGGTGATGAGGAGGTGTCAGAAGATGAGGAGAGAAACGTCCAGGAGGATCGAGAGGCTTTCTGACACACACACACACGTGTTCGCGCACTGTTCCTCCAATCCTTTCCGGTGAACATCAGCCCCAACCGCATTCAATCGCTTGCTATGAAGCCGCTGCACATGCCCGCCCGCCTTCGCACAGCATTGATCTGCCATGGGTTGAACGTGAACCTGGTCCTGAGGTTGCTGATGGCTACGTGGAGCACAGGCGACTTGGTCGGGCCCGTGCACCTTCGGAATCCGAGGGCAATGAGAGTGAACAAGAGAAGCAGGCCAAACAAGTCAACACTTCCCGGAAGGACCGATGTCCCATGGTCAACAAAATGAATGGCCTACCCGAAAGACATGTTGCAAACCACTTTTCAGGAAATTATTCATATGTCCAGCACCTGCAGGAGCATGAGAAGTTTGCCCGGTTCACCGACAATTTGCTTTCGAGAGCTTCGAAGCTGTCAGAGCTTTCCCAAGCGCTTGAATCCGCTTTGGCAGAGTCAGGAAAGGCAGAGGACAGCCCTGATGGCAAACGTGTGAAGAAGCTCTAGACCTAGATTGGGCACCGTTGGTCTCAAAGTTCAAGCTCAATCTTTTGTTTGATTACATGCGGAATTGTCCCGCACAACCACGGTCCTCTTTCAAGCAAGGTCCGTGGAGAGCCTCGAGGCCGCTTGCGAGATCCTGGAGAAGCACTACGAGACTTGCAAAGTGGTCAAGTTGGACACGGAGGATTTGAAACATGACGGTGAACTCTCTGACATGCGCAAGAACGAGTTACTCAACTACAATGGCCAGCAAGATCAAAAAACTATTTGACAAATTATGGAATAGAAAAACTTCTCGTACATGAAGGATCAAACATCGTTTAAGTCAACGCATCGCTGAAAATTGTTTCTGACATGAATGCAAGCTCGCCAGCACTTCTTGGTAGTTCACTATCATCACCGGTTGCATGCCTGTTCACTCTAGGCTCATCAAGAAGATTGATGCCCAGATCCGCGAAACAACAGCGGCGTGCCTTGTCAGGAGCCGAAAGGCTATCGCCTGTAGGAATGAAGCTGGTCGTTTGTCACCCGGCGTCCCAGGTGCAGCAGGGTCACTACTGCGGAAGCTGCTGCCAAGACATTTGGCTGAAATTTTGGGAAGCATCAGCATCAACCAGGATGGAACCAATTTGTTGGAAGCTGTCATGTGGTCGCTCATGGATGTGGTGTTTCAAACCCAAACAGATCTTACGTCGCAACCCGCGCTTTCCCAATCCAAGGAATTTGAAGAAACTTCTTGGCAAGTCTTCGAGCTCGAGCTGATGGTTTGTGCCGGCCAGATTTGCTTTTAGGGCCCATAGAGTTCGAAGAAACCAGGGACCCTGATTTGGGGATATGGACGCAGTCTTCATTGAATGACTGTGAGACTCCAACATGTGCGGAACACGTGTTTGTGAGTCCTGATCACCTTTTTGTCGCATGGGCATGGTGGGACACCCACCAAGAGCCAAGTTTTTGAGGAAGATCGATCTGGGTCAGCGAAAAAGAATGACAAGCGCAGCCCGACAACCAGTCCTCATGCATGCGTACCTCAACCTGGAACCTGCAGGACTCTTTAGTCTTTGGGAACCAAACTAACTAAAGCCCTACACCCGCTACCACTGGGTAGAACTTTTGGGACATTATGTTGACTTGGGTTCCGAGAGCTGCCCACTTGCACGGCCTTGCCAGGCGGCCACAACACCGATGATGTTCTCCGCCACTGTGCTCGCCTGATTTCGAATGGAGTTGTGCCCCAAGCGAGGCTACAGTATCTTGATCAAGGAAAGTATATGATCACGAATGCATGCATGACCAATGGTATGTTGTCACTTTGATCTACAGCGCAGTGTTTCTAATGGATCAAAGGTATGATACATAGTCCTGTACGTGTCAGCTGCTTGCACAGTATTCATCGCAAAGAAACCTGTAAGCGGAAATAGATTTAGGCGTGGCTAGAACCGTAATAATTGGCTTCCACAACGGCATGTTTTAACGCACACTACTTTCCTCACAATGTCCGACGATGACGATGACATGTTGTTGGAGCTGCTGTCCTACACATGCCCGGTGACTGGAAAGAAACGCACCGCTGGATCTTTGGACAACGAAGTCACCCCTGCGAAGTGCCTGGATTGGACAGCTAGTTATCAACAACCAAAACCTTGCGCAAAGTATTCCGAAGTTGTTTCATTCCACCTGCAACCCTAATCAAGACTAATTTGACTGCTCAACCTCTCATGTGTTCAATCTTGGTTCTCAGGTCGATGAGAACTGAACCAACTGAAGCAAAAGATGCGACAAGTTTGGAGACTTCGGATCCGTTCGTTTTCCCACTCAATAATATTGGTGGTGATGCAGTAGTCTTTTCCCCTCCTTGCTCATCGCCGCCGCCGCTGCCCATGAAGGCAACTCAGCGGACACAGAGCATTGCGCAAAGAACAATGTTATTCAAAAAACGGTTCACCCGCGTCATATCACCTTGGAACCACTAAACCCATCACCCTTTCAATATCCCAGGAAAAGGCGTGCAAACTTGATCTACTGAGCGGTCCTCTCCCTGACGGCTTGCTGAACCGCTGTATGTGCAAGTTTGGTCCGTCCCCAACCTGTGGTCGGATCCTAGCTTACTGCAAAGACCAAGTGACCAGCTTTAGGGAAAGGACTGGTGGTATCCGACTTTGTGTCTTCAAGATCGGTGTGACTGCTGATCCGGTCAGCCGATACCAACTCTACTTGAAAATGGGTTTCACAGCGATGTGGCTGATAGCTGCTTCAAACAGTGTGGACTTAGTGCATATGCTGGAGGCGGCGCTAGTGTCTGAATTCCATCAACACGTGGGTTGCAGGAATAAGGGCGGTAGTGGAGGAGAGGGCGCTTTGAATAGAACACCGTGTGCCCCTCCGCCCTACTACGTGTATGTCACTGGTGGAAGGGCTGATCAGCCCCGCGCTGTTGGATGACTTGCTGGGGTTGCGGTCAAAAATAATCGAGCGCTCTGCATTTCAACCCTGAACACGACAACTTTGGAATCGGAACACGACAACTTTGGAATCGGTGCCAAAAATGCCATGTCATCCTAACGCTCTCCTACATTCATTGTGTATACTTGGCACACTTTTGATAGCGCTTTTGACATGTTGACATTGTCATGAATGTTGCGCTCGCCAAGGCCCCATGCAACCACTTGGTGCAGCTAGCTCAGGCTGAGGTGGCTGCCAACCCACAAGCTAGCCAGGTGATGCGCCAGTTTTCGCGCATCCGTGTTGAAGATGCTGAGCGTGGTGTGCACAAACTCTTTTGTGAGAAGGGGTACTCATGCCCTGTGAGGGTGGATGGTGTAGACCTGGGTCCAGGGAAACTCAAAAAGTTTCCATATATCAAGCTCAGCACTTGGATGCAGCACTTGATGGACACCAAGCGTCTGAGTCGACAAATGGTCGGTGTTTCTAGCATTTCCAAGATGAAGAGCGTTCTCAAAGAGTTTTGGCAAAGACAAAAGATGATCAGGCCAAACCACGGTGTCTTTCGGTTGGCTGAAAGTGGAGCTTTGGTTTTGGATCAGGCAATCCCCTTCTTTTCTCACACAGATGAAGGCAGAAGCTACAAGCATCTTCCATTGTTTGCGCTGTCGAGCCACGGAGCATTGGGAAGAGGCACCAGACTCTATTTGAAAGCTGGGAAGCATCGAGCCCCGTTGCGCAGAAATGGCATGGGATTGAACTTTTTAGGCAAAACATGGTCGACAAACTTCATCTTCACAGCTGTTTTGAAGACTGTGACGGCTGAGAACCCTGATGTCCTGGATCAGCTGATCAAAGTGTATGCCGCAGACGTAGAAATGCTCATGACTCAAGGCCTCAGCACAAAGGATGGCCTGCACCAGTTCTGGTTCATACACCTTGGCAGCAAAGGCGACCTCCCAGCGTTGCAGAAGCTGGCAGGCTTCAAGAGGAGCTTTGCTCACGTGCCACGTGGGCCATCTTCACGCAAAGCTTGCAAAGGAGTATGCTTTCTTTGCGATGCTGGACAGGAGGCTGATGCTTCTGCTGGCCTTGCAGCCATCCCTTATGAGGATGTGAGTCCTGGAGCATCCTGGGTGGCGACGTGTGGACAAAACCCTGCATGGGAGTCGACCCCAAGCATTTTGGCTGGCCTTCCCCTTGATGTTCAAATGCAGATCGACTTTTTCCGCACAGATTTATGGCACAACGCCCACCTGGGCGTTCTGAAGCATCATGTGGCGAGTGCCTGGGTTGCCATCATTGAAAGTGATCTCGAATGCCTTCCTGCAGGCAGCGTTGACGCAAAGTTTGAATGGGTGACCAGGCTTTACAGAAGCTATTTCACTTCAGCGCCATTTGTGACGGAAATTTCTCGCGACACCCTCTGCTTTCCTGCCAGTACAGCATCGCCTGTAGGCAAGTGGAGTAAGGGCCAAGCCTCCACAGAGATGATGCACTTCTTGGATCATTTCTGTCAGACTCACATTGCGGGGAAGACCCGGGATCGCCTTCTTCTTGCGATTGTTCCTTGCATTGACAGGGGTAGAACCTTTTTTTGTTTGTTGGTGCCCCACAACTTGGAACAATGAAAATGGTTTTGTGTTTTGTGTCATTGGGTGCAATTCTTTCCAGGCTGATGGGACACATGCTTTCAACATGGCCATGGCAACCTTGTATAGCTCTGGCTTTTGGCTGCGGAAGGAAAGAGCCAAGTTGTTGGGGTCTTTGTTCTACAAGTTCTTGGCGCTATACGTGACTTGCGCTTCGATCACCCTATCCCAGAGAAAGAGGAGGTTCGCCCTAGTTCCAAAAGTTCACATGATCGCGCACGCCGCGCACCAGTTGATGTTGCAAAGCTCAGGTGCGGAGTGGGTTGAAAATCCATTGAGCACTACCAATCAAATGCAGGAAGATTGGATCGGCAGGCCTGCAAGGATCAGCCGGCGAGTGTCGATCAGGTCTATCCACACCAGTCTTTTAATGCGGTCTTTGATCGTGTAT